TATTTTCTTTAAGTTTTTCCAGAGTTCGTTAGAAGTTTAGCCTATGATTTAAATGTTAAGTGAGACTTACAAGATTCTTCACATTATTATATAGAATTAAGCACAAATATTACGTACTTTTTTTGGCGTTTGGTATTAGTAATATGTTTAGACTTTAATATTTTGAGTGATTTCTTAGTATCAATGGAAGAAATTGCAAATAAAGAAACGTCATCTAAAAGCATTTTGAACCTGTAATGCCAAATACTTTAAAGTTAATTGATAAGTTGTATATATTTTTGTAATGATTTTGAGAACTAATTATAAAGAACTATCAAAAGTAAACCAAATATATAGTGATCGTGAATTATGAATTTTACTTTCATGGGGTTTCTGAGAAAAAAGTAACGTTTCTTATTCACAGTTCTTGTTTCTTCCACGGTAACATGAGCAGCAATAAAATACAAAGCTGAGAAGAGGGAAAGTTTCATCCTCAGTTCTTTTAACCTGTAATAGTCTTCAGTTTTGGGAAGTGCAAATTTATAGCAGTTTGGACCACGGAATAAGAAGGACATTGACTCATAGAGGGAAAATTTCTTTATCGTTCTTCAAAATATTTCTTTTTTGAAAATCATTCATTGGCTAATTTGCATTAAGTATAGAATTAAAGTGGACTAAAGACTTTTTTCTTTCCATTTCATAGAAGCGAGCTTGTAGTAGACAAAACAAAGAGAAAAAAAAGAAGAGAACTCTCCGAGGAACAGAAACAGGAAATTAAAGATGCTTTTGAACTGTTTGATACAGACAAAGATGAAGCAATAGACTATCACGAATTAAAGGTAATAGTATACTTTAAAATATATATTTCTCTGTTAAAATGATTTGCATTTTTGACAGTTGCTTTAAAATACATTTCTATATAATTATTTTAACTAAACTGGTTTTGGAACTATGAAGCAATTTTAAACATTCACAGTTAGGTGCGATAATAAAACTGAATAGAACCCCTAACATATCTTTCAGAAAATCTTTTCACATGGTAAAACGAACAGTATTTTGGATGTATAAATACGTTCCTGTGGAAGCAGCTTATTTTTCATTTGCACAAATAAAGGATTTCAAACTATGGAATTTAAACAGTTCTTACCGTATTCTTCTTCCTACTGTTGTTTTTGTTTTTTCTTGGTGACTTATACTTTTTTTTCAGATTGTGGGAATGTTATTTGTCTTTTAATCTTTTAGTTTAAATATGCTTGTAACACAGTCTCAACTTACTTTCTGCAGTGTAAACAACATAAGAGGGGTCTGATGTTGACACATGCTAATGGGGAAAAATGTCAACTTTAAGGACGAGAATATTTATAAAGCTGTAAGGGCAAATGGGTGTTTAGAGTAGTCCGGGGGGTCATACATTCAACACATTGAGAAAGATAACATTTTGGAATTTTTAGTAACACGGATATGTGAATATAAATGTTTATTTGGTAGTTTTAATTTTAGTAACTTTATACGAGAGTCATACATTCAACACATTGAGAAAGATAACATTTTGGAATTTTTAGTCACACGGATATGTGAATATAAATGTTTATTTGGTAGTTTTAATTTTAGTAACTTTATACGAGATTTTAAAGCATCCAAGTGGGGGTTAGGAATTATTCAGTGACAGAATAGAATATATAAAAGCAATAATATGCCAATAAGTCTACCTTTCTCAATCTTGTAGTCTTCTTTGGCTCTCTTTTCCCACAGTGTTTTTAGTTACTCAGATCTGATCAATTCTTCCTTTATGATTTCTCTTCCATTTGTTGACATTGACTTCAGGGTTCGGAACCTTGTTTCATATCTGGAGCTTTCTAAATGGTTTCTCTACTTCTAATTCACCTTGCACACTATGATTAGATTTCAATTTGGATCTTTTAAAAATTCTTTCACCACATTGCTCACTGCTTATAAACCTTTACTGTCTCATCATTGCATACTACATAAAATTCAGGTTCCTTTGTTTTGTATTGAATACTCCTTTTTTTTTTCTCTACACTTTTACTACCATCTACTTTTCTCATTTGCTGCTTTCTTCTATTCAGGTAAGGTAAATTACTGTGCTCACTGTTCCTCAAACCTATTCTTTGTTTTGGTGTCTGTTTTAATACCAGTCATTCGTTCAAATGCCCTACCACTCCACTTTATCTATCCATCAAGGAATACTCGAATCTTTCCAAATAAGAATTCTTTAACCATTAACATATGTCTCTTTACTTGTTACCAGTAACAAGATCTCTTTTTTCTCTAAATTCAGGGTCCTGGACTACTTAATGGATAACTAATCATGTAGGGTCTGATGGTAGTTCTTATTTTAATGTTTTTATATCTTCTATAGATTAACTTTTTAATATTTATGTGATGCCATTTTACCATTTTGGTTGTTTATCCTTTGAAAACAAATAGCTTGTTAAAATGATCTGTGCATTGTCAGTGCATAATGTAGTATATTCTGCAAACACTTATTGATTAGCTTGTCATATAAAAAAAGTAATATGTAAATTTAAAAAATTCTTAATTTCAGGAGAGAACAGCAACACTCACTTTGTTATTTTAGAGATGTAAAACATGCAAAAGAATTACATTTTATTAATGTGTTATCTCTTAAGATATAAAAACTTACATCTTAAGATATGATTTGGAAATCACTTCTTTTTCAGAGTGTTTTATAATTTGTCCTTCCCTTTTAATCCAAAAGGTGGCAATGAGAGCCTTGGGATTTGATGTAAAAAAAGCTGATGTACTGAAGATTCTTAAAGATTATGACAGAGAAGCCACAGGGAAAATCACCTTTGAAGATTTTAATGAAGTTGGTGTGTATTTTAATAGTCTATGTAATCAGCAATTGTTAGGACATTATCTGGTTAATATGAGTATTTTTAATAAATTCTCTAGGTTATGGAATTTTATTATTGAACATTGGTGTATAATGTGGCTCTTATTCAGGGTTTGTTTTTTTTTTGGTACTTTCCCTCTGATATTCAAGGAAAAATATAATTACAGCTTTACTGTGAGATATATAGTTTTGTCTTTTGTTTTGTTTTAAAGATTCTAACCAAGGAACTGTTGTGTGGCTTTTTATAGAAAGATACTTTTTCAAGTGATGTGTGTTTATATTACGTGTTAAACTAAAAAGGTGATCAAAAAGTATTTCCTCCCAATATAACAGAAAATGTGGTGTCCTGCTGTTTGGCAAATATTTCCCAAGACCTTACTGGTATGTGATTTTTGTTGGCAAAGTGGGAGAAGAGAAAACTCGTAGCAGTTGGTATCTTTTGTCATAGATGAAGCATATGTCCTCAGGTTGACAAAGTTTATGAGGGGCTACATACTCTGGATGACCTTGATTTCAGTGAATAAAGTCATCTGTTTAGAGTTGGTATTGAAGAAAATGTTGTGGTAAGGGAGGCAGTTGGCAGACTGGAAGCAGAAGAAAACATTTTAGAGTAGCAATTGAAGATAATGGGTCATGGCTTAATATAGTTAAATTTTTGTATAGTTGATTTTAATGAATTATTTATAGCATATATATAGATCAGGCCTTTTCAGAATAGAGGATTCTGGAAGTCAGGGACTTTGCTATTATAACTTTATACATAGAATGTATAAATATTTGGGTTTATTTCTATTAAATTATTTTTCTAAACCGATGATACCACATTATTATCTGCTATTATTGTTACTTGTAATAAATAGTCTTTGTTTCACTTGTTTCAGTGGATGGAAGTAATCATATATGCATCACTGGGGCATAAAGTATTCTACTCTGTGTATATTTTTCTCACTTTCTTTTTGTAGTTGCAGGCTATGTCAACATTATTAATAATTTTACAAAATAGATTTCATTTAAAATTAATACAGTTTTAAAATTGTGATTTTTATTAGCAGTTGAGACCAGGGTCCCATGTCACTTCTACCTTTTCCTGATACCTCGTCTTTTCTGTGTTAATAGAGCAGAAATACTGGGTTCCTTCTAGAATAAATAGCTGTGGCTAAACTTCAGTTCTGATTCTCAAAAGTCAACCTTTTCTTCATCACATACCTTAGCTGTCTTAAGGTTACCTATTGAGAGTACCAGCTGTCAAGTAAAAATTTATTAGTATTTGGGAATCAGTCAAGAACTATGTATTCCTCCCATTTGTTAATAATTTTTAACTAATAACTGACCACAGATTAATACAGTATATGTTTTTATGCTTTGGGACTAATGACTCCAAAGTCAGAACATTCAAGTCTTAGTTTTATGTACCATTTTATTACTGCCTAAGGACAGTATCCCACAGGTATTTCTGGATGATGTCTGGCACTTGAATGGATTCTTCTCAGTACTAGAAAAAAGCATTAAAATATATTTAATGTAAGTTTAGAGTCAAAGCAGCACGAGGCTATTGAGTAACATGGGTGTTTTAGGAATTGTCTTTATGACCAAGATAAGTCAGATGTTTGCACTCCATCTATTTTTGGCATGTGTTATTTAATTGCCTGTATAAAATAGAATTTGGTATTCATTGTTTTATTGTTATGATTCATTGTATTATTGTTTTCATTTTGCTTAGTTAACAAACGTACTGAATTTTTTGGCATTAGGTACTATGCTCAAGGGGTGAGGAAGGGGAATTAATTAAAAGTTCCTAATGAGGTTCTTTTTTCAAGGAGCATACAGTTTAAGTATGGGTGACAGCAAGCTGTGGTACTATGTGATAACTAATAATTTTGTCTAGTACAGCAGTCAGCAAACTATAGCCCTTGGGCCAAATTTTGCTGCTATTTGAACACCACCACGCCCGTTCTTGTATGCTACTTTCCTGCTACTGTGGCAGAGAGAGTAGTTCAGACAGAGACCTTACGTTCCCCTACAAAGCCTAAAGTATTTACTATCTGGCCTTTTACAGGAAAGATTGGTCAATCCCTGATCTAGAGGAAGTAAAGAAGACTTTGCAGAGGGGAATTTTTATTTAGGCCTTTAGAAGTGTGAATAGGATTTTATTCCAAAGAGAAGATTAGAGAAGTAGAGAAAAGGCATTTCAGACATAGGAAACAGGAGCAACAAAGAGTGGTACTAGAAGTATAGTACGTTTGAGAAACTTCAGGTGGACCCCTTGGCTAGAGGATAGGGAAATGACTGCAAAGGTAGGATTGAGCCAGATTGTAAAAAATCTTGCATAACATTTAGAATTTGGATGTTAATCAGCAGAGGATCATTGACAATTTTTAAGGTAGGGAATATGATATGTTTAGGAAGATAACTGAGGAAAGTATTGAAGATAAGTTGGAGAGAAGAGAGACTGCAGGCAGAAAATACTAGACTTTTTATACTGAGGTTGGTGAGGATAAAAGAAAAGAGCTACATTTAAGAGTAAAAAAGAGAGTATCTTTAGTACGATCAGATCTAAACACTGATTAGGTTTATGGATTGAAAATGATTCAGATTTTTCAAATATGGGTAACTAGCTGTTAATGATGCTTTTATCTTTTGTGGGGTGGAGGGAAGTATCGACAGCTACCATGGTGATATTGAAAGCAGTTTGGAGTCCAGCATCCTGAGTTTAAAGTAATTGTGGTATGTTTGGATGCAAACTTCCAAAAGGCAGTGAGACATATAGTTGAAGCCATGTTACTAGTATTACCTTTAATGATTTTTGATTTACTTTTAATGTGGTTTTTAAATTTGCTGTATTATGTGATTTTTATGCTTGTATGTGTAAAGTCTAATTATTTTGATGAAATATGTTTCTGATACTACAGTTAAATCATTTGAAAATAGAATTACGTGGACAGAAATTTGGAGTTTTGTGAAATAGATGAAACCTACCTTAACTGCTTGTATGTCAATTGACTTATTTTCATTGAAAAAAATATCTATTTCTTATAATTAAATTCTACTTTGTAGAATAGGAATAGAACCTGAGGCATAGAGGAGAGTCATCATAAACTTTTACACTAGGTAATGTTTTAGCTGTCCAGAATGATGGACATTTATAATTTCTAAGAAAAAGCCACATTCTAAGGTAGAGTATTGATAAAAGATTATATAGATACATAAATGTGAAATAACTAACACAACTAAAGCACCAGTGGGATAAGAATTCATACATCTTGGAGTCCCATCTGTTCCCCAGATCACCCTGTTGCTTCTTTAAGTACATTAATACTTTCAGCAAGCTGCTTTTTTGGTTCACCTGTCATGTAAATTATTTAATTGGTGAAAAAAATTTCTTAACACTTTTTTTCCTTGTCCTGCTTTTTTGTTGGGACTAAATTCAAAATAAGTTGAGTATGAGCCATAGAGTTAAGTGCGGTATTTTATTTTGGTGTTATGGCTGTATATATGCCAACTCCTTTTTGACTGAATATTTATGAGCTTTGATGATTTGCATACTTATAGTAATATACTTCAATTAGTTACTTGGAAGCCTTTTTGGATAAAATTAATGGAAAAGAAAACTTGAATATATGTGCAGATGATAAAACATTAGCTTGAATAGGTGCTTATTTAACCAAATATGGATGAAACAGCAGCAAAACAATAACTTGTTGGGGACTTGGATTGTATTTTTCATTTTGGATTCATTAAACATTCAAGTACCTTCCATCTATAAGAAGTAGAGTTTTGATGATTCTGTAAGCCTGAACAGGGCTGGGTTATTTTTAGTGGCATAGTGAAAGTCATAAATACCTTTTCTTGTAATGATAGAATAGCATGTATAATTACTTCAGAAGTGTTTACTAAGATATTTTCAGAATTTTATCTAATAACTTAAAAAATATTATACCATATATTTTTACTTCAATTTTTGTTATATGGCTATTGATTAAAGATTGGTAATATAAAAAATTTTTAAGTTCACTATTTTGTTATATACGATTATATTTAGTATATTAGAATATACTATTGTGAAGTCTGAAATTATTCACATTCATTTTTAGTTAGTTGTCTTTGAGTTACCATCTTGCCAAACAAAATAGATATGACTTCAAAGAGACTTCCTTTCCAGTGTTTTCTTTTGGCTTTATTACTGTAATCAGATTCAGTCCTTTCAACTATTTTCCACATTTTCGAAAACCAGTAGGTTTTTGTAGTCATGAAGATATCAGTGGAATTTTCATGTACTGTCCGAGATTGTGTCAGTGATGGCAATGCTTTCTGTTACTTTCTCAGGTTTTGTTGTTGTTATTGTTTATTTTTAAGTTGTATTAAATTTGAGGGAGAATCAGTGTTAGTAGTAAGTTTAGCCAGCAAACAGCTTTTATCTATTTGGCTCTAACTGTTTTATTGGTATGTCTCGCTACAACTAGATTACAAACTCCTAGACTTGCGTGCTTGATGTTAGTGGAGCCTAGTACAGTTCTTGATAATAGCAGACCTTAAGTAAATATGGCATAAATGTAGTTCTTTTTATTTTGTTTCTGTGTGATATAGTTTTGGTTACTCTTAGAATGACAAATTGTTGATAATAAAAAGGTTACATTTTAAAATACAGATTTGGTTTATTAAATTTCAGGCTTATCTGAGTTTTTAGGATCTAATTTGACATTTTGTAATCAGACTAAATGTTGACAAGATTCACAGCTTTAATTCTCATCTAATACTTGGTTGATTAAAAAAGGAATGCCTTCATGATTATGCAGGTTTGTTTGTTTTTTTTTTAACTGTAGTGACAGACTGGATATTGGAAAGAGATCCACATGAAGAGATACTGAAAGCATTTAAACTATTTGATGATGATGATTCAGGTAAAATAAGCTTGAGGAATTTACGACGTGTTGCCAGAGAATTGGGTGAAAATATGAGTGATGAAGAACTTCGGGCTATGATAGAAGAATTTGATAAAGATGGTGATGGAGAGAGTAAGTTTTAAGTAAAATGTATTTTCCAAGTATTCCTGATGCTACATATATAGTAAATTTTTCTAAAACCAAATGATTTTCAAGACTCTTTGCAAACTATCACTTTTTATTCAGTGTAATTGTTCATCCTGTAATGGGCTTTTTGCATAGATATTTCATATATTCAATTTAGAATGAATTTTCAAGACTCTTTGCAAACTATCACTTTTTGTTCAGTTAATTGTTCATCCTGTAATGGGCTTTTTGCATAGATATTTCATATATTCAATTTAGAATGAAACAGATCTTTAAAACCAGATATACAGATTATAATATGCGGTTTGATACTTCAAGAAGCTACTTTACTTTTCTCTGAAAATGATACCTCACCAAAATTTCAGGCACACAGTAATATTTCAGTCTTTGATGCCTTCTCCCTCAACCTGCATACACTTCTAAACTGTTACTAAATTCTGTTGATTTTACCATTCAAATGTTTTGAATCTATACATTTTTTTTGGTCCACTGCTGTCCTAGTTCAGGACCTAACTTCTTTTTTAGGAATATTATAATAGTCTCAATTTTTCTTTCCTTGGGCTGCCTACTGGGTGCAGTGTCCTGTGTGCTGACAGGTGCTACACAGTGAAAAAGGCAGATGTGGTTTCTGCCTGCAATTTGCAGTCTCTTGTAGCCTCCTAATTGCCCTCTAGGTCTATAAGTTTCTAGTCTCTTCTTCTTCAGTCTACTGATAGCATTGTTTTCCTAAAATACAGATTTAGTGATGTCATTTGCATGTTCAAACACTTAGAGTGATTCTTTACTACCTACAAGTAAAGTTCAAAGCCTTTTATGATCTGTCTCACCTTATGTAACCTGTTTTATGTTCCACTGTATTCTTCCACTTTTCTACTTCAGCCGTCATCTCTTACATGTACACACTTCGACAAAATACTGTCTACCCTGAAAACATGTTTTTATGCTGTGCATTTTGGCATGCTGTTCCTTAATCTTAGAATGCTCTAATTGCCAGCTTCTGTCTGCTAAAATGTTATTTATTCTCCCAGATACATTTTAAACACCATTTTTTTTTTTTTTTCTCAAAAGCCTCCCCTAATAGTCTCTGTGTGAATTCTGAGAGTTCCATTGAGGGCTCATAGCATTCAGAGGAACAAACTGTTTTGATACTTTCACACACTTAGTATGGATTCTTTTGGCTGTAAACCAAGATTTGTTTAGAGATACAAACTGCTTTCTTTGTATGTTAAATTGCTAAAGATCATAATACTTTGCTGCCTTTTTTGTAGACTTTAGTAATTCTCTGTCTTTGTGAATTTTCACACTGTTCAGTATCTAAAAGCAATGAAAATGTTTTTTCTTAAATTGTGTATATAGAGTAATAAACATGGTGAATGTGGAGTTACGGATAAATAAGATATACTAAAAGTTAGACATAAAGCTATAGTAATCATACAGAAAGAATTGCACCCCTCCCTCTCTCACCTCCAAGACAGATAAAACATGGCTCATCTTTCTGGAAAAATTAAGGTAACATTTAAAAAGCCAAAGTGGATCATCTTTTAAATAATGGTGACTGTTAACATTTATTTAGCAGTTACTATACATATGCTAGATCTGTGCTTAGTGTGTTACATTGAATTTTGTCACTTAGTTTTCATAATAGCTTTTGTAAAGTAGATATAGTATTATACCTGTACATACATAGGATAGATGCATGAATAGAAGAGGAAGCTAAAGCTTTGAGAGATTAATAATCTGCCCAAGGTTATTACAAAGGAAATGTATAGCAGAGCCAGAAATCAAACTCACATCTTCATAACGACAAAGAATGTGCTTTGAAATATAATACTGTATTGCCTTTTGGGTAAAGTAAAATATTAACTAGGCTTCTGTGTTTATGGAATTTAAAAAATTACGGGCTATTGTAGGAAGCAATGTATTAGCAACAACAAATTTAACTGGTACTTTTATGTTAAAATTTGTTTATTTCCCTTTGAAGCCAGATGATCTCTAAGGTACTTAATCTACTTAATTCTTGAAAATTCTTATTGTTAGTGACTTGAGTAAGATTTACCATATGAAATGGTTGATTTATGAAAACTTTGTTAAAGAAGGCAATGTAGAAGACAGTGAAGTGTCATATTTGCTTGATTCAATAAACATTTTATTGAAGGCTTCTTTTAAGCTAGGCATTATGCTAGATTTATTATAGGAACTTGATATAAGATACTGTTGATAGAGAAGGTTATAAAACCAAATGGGCAAAAGTGTTACAGATTCTCTTTTAATTGGCTGAAAGTTTCTCTCGTAGTAGAGGTCGCTAGTTTAATTTCCTTGGCCACTTTCTACTTTTTGCTTTTTTGGACTTAAGTATTATGTTTTTAGGTATGAAATCATGGACTAATTTAAAATACTTTTAAATGCTATTATACTTTAAAGTAATTATATACAAATAATTTAAAAATTAAGTGTTTTATGATTTTAGAACTTCTATAATCTTAATTTTAAGTTCCAGGATTGAAATTTTAGAGATTGTGAAAAAGTTTTAGATCATTAAGTCACAAAACATAAGTAATTTTCAGATTTTGAATATTTTAACCATGGCTGTATTACACTATTTAAAATGATATATAGTCAAATAATTCTAAAGCTGTCTTCATAATGTTCTTTTTCTTAAGAATATACTCTTGATTCCTGTTTTGGTCTAGATGCCTCAGTCTAGAATCCCTAAATCAGGGGTTCTTAAATGAGGGTACATGCTGCTTAAGTTGTTTTAAAATTTTATATATTTGAACTTTTTTTTTTTTTTTTTTTTTTTTTTTACTGAGGGGAGAGAGGAGTCATAGCTTTCATAGGATATTCAAATGTGTTTGTTTAACTGCAAAAGTTAAAAATCACTACTCCAGTTTGTAAGATCCTTGAAAGTAGTTTAAGAGTATTATAGATTTTGTATTCGATTCTCACTGTGTCTGTCATAGCGTCTTATAGATGTTTAATACTGAATGCATGGATTCATTGTTCTCTACCAGCTTCTGGACAGCTCATTCTTCTTAACTCATAGCTTGTTTTTGCTAGGGATACACTGTTCTCTTTCTATATTTCTGATGCTATTCTCCCAGCCCAGCTCTCTTTCCACTTCCTTTCCAATCCTATGTTTTTAGTTTGGAGCCCAAGTCTTGATTTAATTTTATCTGAATTTTTCTCATCAGTAATAATTTTTCCTATTAGAATGGATTTTTTTCCCAACACTAATATTTGGTCTTCATTTTAATAATCATGTTTTGTGTTACAGAGTATTCTCTTTTTCATATATAAAACCTGATTAACATAATTATTAAAACTGGTTTTTTATGTAGTATCTGGAAACAGTATATTCTTTTATTCCTGATATACAACATTTTTTAATTGGTTAATTTTTTCTAACTTTTCATTATAAATATTCTCAAACATGGAGAAAAATCATTAGAACAGTGAGCATCATTGTATCTTCTGCCTAGATTCAGTAATTAATATTTTATTCTGTTTTATCTGTGGTATGTATGTTTTTTTCTGAACCGTTTGAAAATAAGTTCCATATATCAAGAACTTGACCCCTAATATTTTAGCATTCATCTACTAAGAACAAGGATATTATCTTTCATAACTATGATATCATTGTTACACTTAAGAAATGTATGTTTTTTTCTGAACCGTTTGAAAATAAGTTCCATATATCAAGAACTTGACCCCTAATATTTTAGCATGCATCTACTAAGAACAAGGATATTATCTTTCATAACTATGATATCATTGTTACACTTAAGAAAATGAACAATTTTATATCATCTAATGTCTTCCTCAATTTAATTTCAGAATAAGAACCCTGGTGTCTGTTTGATGTATTGTACTTGTAGTATAAATAGTATGGCATTGGCACTCACTAGGCATTTAAAAATGGTTAATTCAATGGAGTGTTTTCATATATTACCATCTGAGGTATTTAAGAATTAGAAACAACCTCAAACATCAGGTCATAGTTGAGTGTTTTCAGATGAAGAAAATGAAATACAGAACTGTTCTATGCAGAGCTATGACTAGAGGCCAGGTCTCTTATTTCTCGATGTAGTATTCTTTTACCAGTATCAAAATTATCATTCATAACTCGTGCCTTGTTTTTTGTTTTGTTTTGTTAAGATATGTATTAACTATTAGGGTGCATGAAATCATTGTGTTACAAAGAGGAAGCATTCTTTTCTGAACATTTCTATTAATTGGTGTGTATGTGTATTGGTTTTTAAAAATTATATTTAATAAGATTATCTGATATCCTGTTTATTTCTAGATTGCTGTCCTAAACATTATACTTTATAAATTGGAGGTTCTTACTGATTTTATTTCTAATTTTGGTTAATTATATTACATTATATTTATATTCTGGTAATTAGTCTTTATCAGTGATTATTTCCTGTATTTACATCTATATTTTATAGTTGCTGTATTACCTTGGTAATTAATATTAAATCTGCATTTTTCTTCAAATTGCCATTTCTAGTAATACTTTTGAAGTATGATGACGTGGTTTCAATTATTATTTTTTAAATAGGCTTTTAAATATATAGAAGTTCAAAAAACAACAATTTGAAAGTTTTTCTGATTTTAATATATTTTCATTTTTTAGAATTTTACTGATTTACATTTGTCGTATGTTCAAGCTTACATATGAAGGAAAGATTTGCTAAATGAACTGTAAAGATAATAAAGAGTATTGTTTAACCACTTAAGAAATTAAAAATGTCCAGCTTTTGAACTAGTTTAGTTTAGCAAGTATGTACAGATAAATGGACATACTTCAAAAAGTTTGTTGAAAAATAGAATTAAAAGATAATATGAATCTTTCCATGAACTTTTTGAAGACTTTGACTTTTTCAGTAACCTATAATATGTCTTTTCCTTCGTTAATGTTATAGAATATGTACTAATTTATAATGTTTGTCTCATATTTAGGTATTTTTGTATTCACAAAGTTTTATTTAATAAACAAAAGCCATTCTTGATTTATCAAGAATTTTGTATAATGTAAAATTTAAAAAATACTTAGTGTAAATTGGTAGTTATATTCTCTGAAAAAATAAGGTGTTTGTATTTTTGACTGTTACACTTTCTTTCTTACCACAGTAAATCAAGAGGAGTTCATTGCTATTATGACTGGTGACATTTAAAGAATTACAAGGATAAACACTAAGAATGTTGCAGTTACCATCTTATATTCTATTTTTGTGCCTGGAGCCATGTTAAAAAAGAAACCAACTTAGTTCTTCTTTCCAAAAGGACCAAAAATATGCATTTTATGTATTTGTATTTTACTGCTGTTAAGTTTCTTTGTATGAACAGTATTGTTGGTACTCAAATAGTTTAGCTTTGTATTTATAGTATAGCTTTTATATAAAGTTGTAAAAAATCAAATCATCTGGTATACATTCTTTGAAGTTTTTAATTTAACATTAGTATTTTATTTTGGTGAGCACGTTTTTTAGACTTTCATTAATAAAATTTTTATTTTATTAGTATTTTAAAGTTTGGTGAATTTCCTATTTTATTTTGCTACCCAATATCTGTTAACTCTCAATAGTGTATTTCTTAAATTTTTTCTCTTTACACTTTTACCAGTTTCTGATGCAAAAATTGAAATACAAATAGCAATAAAGTAGCATATTTTTCCATTACCTAAGATTTCATCATGTTTGACAAGATGACTCAATGTAAGCCTAATTCCTTTTTTAAGAGTCACATCTTTCAGTTTGGAGGGAATAAGTGTTGTGCATATCGACCCATTTATCCTCGTGTATTATGTTCTATAACTCTTTTGGTACCTTACATAAGTTTGACAGTTAAATCTGAATATTTCCCTCTTAAACTAATTGAATGAATGTAGTTTAAATCATCTAATTTGACAAAGTGAAAGATTTAAATTTTTGAATTTTGATCTGTTAAGGTAATTATCACTCAATTAAATGTCACAGTGATGAAAATAGAAAACTGTAAGCCACAGAAATAATTTAAGGCTACGTTTTACCTATATAAAGGAACATTCTGTGATTCACCAGGAAACAGTAGAGGCAAACTTACATGGTATTGGTGGGCCCTTCTGCCTTACAGAAGTGTATGTTGGGGGAAAACAAGTAGTTATCGGAGCTAGGCCATAGGAAAAATGGTATCCATACCAAAATAATCTGGTTCTTGGTGGTATGTACTCTCCCAGGAAGAGAGTTGTCTATTTAAGTGATCTTTCTTTAGACTTCTTGTTTTAAATTTCAAGGACAGTATAATTTGAGGCACTTAAAATAGTGTGCCTCCTAGAGTATTAAGAGCTGCCCACTAGAAAGAATATTAACAGTGATGATATTTCAAACAGCTATCTAGAAAGCAAGTTTAATTGTTCTACCTTTACTGATGAATTGCCTTCTGTTTCTTGATCATAAAATGTATTGATTTCCAGGAAAGTGAAGAATAAAATAGACAAAAATCTAGGCTTGCTAGTCTTCTACCACTTTATTGGAACAATAACCCAAACTACTTTTTGCCACTTACAGACATATCTTTGTTCTTGATACAAATACTTTCTCCTTAGGATACCAGAAATTTTGTTTCTTCTCTTACTGTGGGTTAGGAAAGACTGCTCATCTCTGTTCTTCATGTTTGTGGAAGCTTTGCCTTGGAATAGGAAATGAGTTATTCTCAAGTTTCTTCCAGTTAATCAGTAACTCTCGAGTTGAAAGGCCGATAAGATTGGCCAGTAGAGGTGTCAATATGAAGAAAGGAGTGAATTTTCTGTAAAAAGAAGGAGGTGGATATTAGTATTATTTATCATCATGTCATTTCATGATATGAGAAACTTTGGAATTTCTACAAGCCCCTCGGGTTTGATTTATTTGCTAGGATGGCTTGCAACTCAGAGAAACGTGTTTACTGGTTTATTATAAAGGGTACTACTACACAGGATGCAGATGAACAGCCAGATGAAGAGATATATAAGGCAAGGTATGAGGAAAGGAGTGTGAACTTCCATATTCTCTTTAGGCTCCCCACTCTCCAGGCACCTTCATGTGTTTAGCAACTGGAAGCAACATTCAGCCCTTTAGCCCTCTCAGGAGGTGGGGTGGTGGGATGAAAGTTTCAACCTTGTAATCGCATGGTTCCCCTGGCAACCGGACCTCCCCCATCCTGAGGCCATCCTGAAGCTAAATGGAGGCCCCCAGCCGCCATCCTTTATTAACATTCAAAAAAGACTGATCACTGGAGATTTCTAGGGGGTTAGGAACTGTGTGCCAGGAACCAGAGGCAGAGACCAAAAATTATTTATTATTATATTACAATATCACCGGTAGGTATAGTGCTAGGCTTATTTAATCCTTTATTGCAGGAAATTCATACAGCACTCCAAAGGAAGGCTTTCAAATTGAGTTGATGTGTGGTGTTAATGACCTTACATCAGTAAGCACCATGGAGAGTAGACAGTGTCTATGTCCTCCACTCCATAAGCCATCTGATGCTAGTCTTTGGGAGTAAATTCTCTTGAGGGTTTAAAAGTGGTGTGTTCTCAAAAGATTATTTACAATATTCTGAAGACGTGAAGAAGGGAAAAATTTCAAAAGTCACGATATGCAATTAAATGTGAATTACATAAGTAATACACAGAGACATTCTATAAAGTAAAAGCAAAAATTCTCCCCTCCCCCTCAATCCCATTCATCTGAATATTATCAGTATTAGTCTGGGTCTGGACAGGAGGAAGAACATGACTAAATAAAGAGTGTAGTATAAGGAATGGTAAAATTGGTATTGGAGAACTGAAAAAGCAGAAAGGTAACACTGAAATAGTTAGCTGCAGGAAACAGCTACCAGCCCTAGGCCTGAGGGAACAATATAGAGGTTGTGATTCCTAGAAACTAGATCCTTGGAGAAAAGGTTCAGCAGAGCGGGCACTATGACATTTGAGAAGGGGGCATTGGCAGGCGATGGGGGGAATGATGAGGCTGGTTTAGGAAATGGTGAGAAAAAGCTGGAGACTGGAACCTCTCCAGTTGCTGTCACTGCTGATATTGGAATGAAGATCTGTTGTTCTGGGGATGCTGATGGAAACAGCAAGCAGCAGGAAATGGCAAGATTCTTTCTCCCTCTTCCTGTCTTCCTGTCTCTTATCTTCTAGTCCTCCTATTACTGGACCTTTACAAAAATTCAGCTGGCAAAGGAGAAATGTAGTTTTCACAGTCCTAGCCATAGTATTACACAGTTGAGTATAGCATAGAGGTTTGGAGCTGTGGGGAGAAAAATAGCCCAATAACCAGTACAGGTCAACATGTAATTTTACCATCTGATATTATTTTTTTACATTCTAGGATGTGGAGCAGTTGGGAAGGAGGGAGAGAGGGGAAAGGGGAAGGAAATGGGATGGTAGAAGGAGAAAAGAGGAGGGGCAGGATTGAGGCCTTAGGCACCCCCCTTATTCCCACAGGGGAGACCAGGGGGCTTCCAGCAGTGGCTTGGTTATTGCTGGGCTGGATGCAGATGTCATGGGGGTGTGGCAAAAACCCTTGCCCCCCCACAAACCTCAGCTTGGGAACCTGGGGTGCTTCCTGCAGCAGCTTGTGGTCATTGCTGGGCTGGTTCTTCGTGTGTGTGTGTGGGGGTGTGTGGCCAAGGCCTGAGGCCCCCACCCTCTGGACTGGTTGCGGGTGTCAGAAAGCATGGCTGAGGTGCTTGGGCCTCCCCTCTTTCTGGCTTGGTAGCCCAGGGGACTTCCTTCTACATATTATAGGTGTTCTTGGTGAAATGAGATCTTTACTAGTTAATATCAAACTTTGTCTCTGGTTGTGGGTACTTTGTTTTTTCTTTCAGTTCTGTGTTGGATTATTTGCTGTTCCCACCACTTGAACTCTGTGCTGGAATGAATTTGTTGTCCTTTGCTTACTTCTAAAATGGGGGAACTTTCTGTGGGGACCAGTATTTAAGCTCTGTGGTTGAGCTAAATTTTTGCTTTGCTGCTGGTTCCCTAGGGAAGGCTTTTTGTGTAGCTCAGGTTTTAGTGGTTGACTTTATAGGAACTTCTGGCTCTCATGAGATCCAGTACACCTGGATTGTGTAGAAAGACTCTGGTCTGGGCCTGAGTCTTTTCATTAAACTGCACCCCTTGGAATTCTATATTCCTGACCAGTCTCAACTGAGTGGTCCTACACTGATTGGGGGCAGATCAGCTGTCCTTGCTGTGCACCAGTGTTCTCCTGGTGGGCCCATCTCCCCCGCTGCCCACACTCCAAGCACTTCCTATGAGACAGGCCACACGCCTGTCACTTGTGATGACTCACCGGCCTCTGAGTGGCTCCTTTTTCAGATCAGCTGTCCTTGCTGTGCACCAGTGTTCTCCTGGTGGGCCCATCTCCCCCGCTGCCCACACTCCAAGCACTTCCCATGAGACAGGCCACACGCCTGTCACTTGTGATGACTCACCGGCCTCTGAGTGGCTCCTTTTTTTCAGTTGTTGTGGCTCTTTGCTCCTGTGTGGGTCCATGGGAACCCTATTAGTGGTCTTGCTGTCCTGGAGTCCACCAAGGACCTCTTCTCCCCTGCCTCATCTAAGCAACTCCATCTGAAGGGCATAACTGCAGCTTTTGCCAGCTCCTGCTCCGTGTGCTCAGCAGCTCTAGCCTGGAAGCAGCTAGGATTCGAAACCGTCAGAGTGGTTTTTTTCTTTCATTGTGGCTTCTCCTGCCTTCATACACTTCATAGGTCTCTCCTATTCTCCTGAGCTCTAGTGGACCCAGCTTGGCCGTAATTGCTTTTTTATAGTTTTAAGTAAATTGGTTGATTTGTGGGAGAGAGTGACGCTGGCGACTGTCTACTCTGCCATTTTACCAGAAGTCTGAACCAGGTTACTTTTAAGAGTAAAGGGGCTTGGAGGCAAGGGGAGCTATTTACATTGGGACAACAGATATAAATCAGAACTGTCCTAGGCAAACCAGGTCATATGATCACTTGATGTCTGGGAATAGTAACCACTGTTACTTTAGAGAAGTTATATATTTTAATCTTAAAATATATAAGGGTACATACTGTTGAATTGTCTTTATTTTACACTCAAGAAAACCGAAGTTTGGAGGATTAAAGCAATGTGTTCAAGGTAATAGGCAGTAACAATTGGAATTCAATGCCAAGATTTCTTATTCTAGAGCTGACTAAACTTGTATAGACCCAAGGTGTAACAGATCAGACCTTTAAAACCACAAAATATAAAAGAGATAGAATTTGGTATTCAGAAGCTCAGTAGCAAAAACATTTATTAATTTATGCTTAATCTAGCATGGCATTGTATTATGTGTTATTCCATTTGAGTTAGTGTTTAGTGTCAGACCTCTGGAAGTTTATAATCTTAGACTATATTTTTATATTCATGGAGGCAACACATTGAAAAAGTAAATGAGTTTGGAAAATAAGTAAATTAAAGATACAGCCTTAAGCAAATGCTAAGTGCATATTGAGTAGTGAACACTCAAAAGGTTTTCATTTTGAGGGTAAAATTTAGGAAAACATTTTTTTCAATTTATCTTTGTGGAAAAGATTTTATTTTAGGGACTGCTTGAAATGCAGGGAACCTTGGGTTTAGGAGTTTAGTTGGTTAAAGGGTATGTGGGAGGGTCTCTGAGGCATTAAGACAGACAGGAGGAGGTAGCAAGATTTATGGACCTGAACCTGATAGTCTAAAGCAAAGCTCCGTAGGTCTCAGTACAAGTGTATTCATCAGAGAGGATGTCAGTAAAGGTCATTTTAATAGAAGAATTATGAATTGTTCAGAATCTGGATTGTAAGCAGGAAATCTCAGAATGAAATATGGCAGTCATCCAGATGACAGCTTAGTTGAATCTTGGAGATCTTGCTTAATTAACCTAGGCTCA